CTGAAAAATTGGAGGCGACAACCTGTATCCGACGCCCAAAATTGCTTTGTCCGGCGTCCTTGTTCAAGGCCAGTTGCCTCAAGGTCATCCAGTACCTCAGTCAGCGCTTTCAGAATTGAGAAGAAGGCTCGATCGCTGGGACAATATGTTTATTCAGAATTGTTGGCCTGCAGATACTTGACCAACTCCCACTCGGACACACACACATGCGTCCACGACCTCGCAGCTGCGCAAGCGCCACTTGTACATGTCCTTCCCCCCCATCCGCGGACGAGAGAGCCTACGCCACCGGATACGACACCCCTCGGGTAATGTCACACACGCCAATCAGAGAACACTTGAACCTGCTCCGCAATCCTACTTAAGCAGCAGCCACCACTGTCTCATTCTTTCTCAGGTTCGAGTGGACGCAGTCAACACCAGCCCTGGCTTCGCCAATGGTCACTGCCGCCTGAGACTGCAACTGGGAGTTCTGTACACAATAAAGCTCTCACTATGGTGACTCCTGCCTATTACCTCTAATCTGGCATTCGACCTGATGATTGTAGTGATCTGACTACAAATACGGCTTAGACCGCTAAAAACCATGAAGTATATGAGATCATCAAGGGCTGAATGCGTCAGGTGGTATCGGTCGGGGCAACCTTGGCCTTCTCAAGAACAGCAAGGGTGTCTTCGGGTAGCTCGGAAGACTCTCTGGGGCCCAAGAAGAGTGTCTTGAGCAGCAGAATGGTGTCGGCACAGTTAGGGAGGACTCGACCGTAGACGTTAAGCATGTCCAAATCCTTTGCAGCTGAGGTTTGTAAGAAAGGGTTGGGAATTCACTGCTGGTCGAAATTTTTGAAGAGAGAGGATGGATGCTGTTGGTGTCGACCAGGTGACCGAGAAAATTGAGTGAGGAAACAATTATTAAAACCATAATTTAAAGTAAAACAATAAAAAACAAGCACGCAGCAAACTGCAACTGCGCAAGATAAAACCGTTAAAGGTAGGTTTTCCCTCCTTTTTGAACTGAAAATCTATAACAAAATAAACGAAGGTTAACTAAAGTGAACTAACCTAAATAAACTCAATCTAATCAAAATTAAACTAGAATCAAGCTAATAAAACTAATTAATAAACTAAAAACAAAACCAAACTAAACTGAAGACCAAAATAAGCTAAAACTAAACTTAATTAAACTAAACTTGTAAAGATTCTTGTGGGTTTTCAATGGACTCTGTCGTACTTCGTGTTGAGAAACAGCCGATACAAAAGTAGCTAAACAAGCATGTATACTTCTACGAAATAAGTAGGCAGTCATGCGAAGTAAGTGTAGTGAGCCCGAAACCAGATTTTCACTACAGTCCGTCATGGCACGGCTCTCAGCGCGTCGAGCTAGATTCGATTGTGTCCTATTTATTATTCTTAGTTGCCGAGTTGCCCCGAAAATTGATTCAGCATCGTCAATCTTACTCTACTTTTCACCTATCATGCATCAGTAGACTGTCGAGGCTATTAGACTGGCGGCTTTAGCTGAAGTGGAGAGATTGCCTACGACCAAGTTTACCCAGATAAAGGTGTGACTGAGTATGTTTATGTGGCGAGTATTCACACAATGGCCATAAAGGCTGTAGAAACGGCATTCTCTGCTGGGTGCTTGAGCTCCTGGCACTCGTTCGTCAAACTCTGTTTGATGGATTGGCAGGTAAGTAACCAGGCCGATCCGTGAATTAAATGTTCTATCACAATGAGGAAAGGTTGAAATCGAATCCTCATTGATGACGGTTTTGAAGCGGGAATTGGTGCACGTCAGTGGTGAGAGCGAAGGAGATGCCATCGGGGATGAATGTCCCCGTGGCCGACGAGGAGGATTTGACAGGGGAAATGATGCCGTTGATAGAAGGCGGCGGGTCATTGGTAATATACAGGAGTTTCGTCAAGAGGACGCCATCCCGTATTTTTAGTTAGTTAATCAGCTGCAAGCCATGGAGATTCTAGAGGGAGTTTTGCAGTTAGTCGAATACCTGGTTGGTTTCCATGATCAGTAAAGTTTTAAACAGCCTTGACTGGGGCACCACTGACACTAATTAAAAGACTGTTGTTTTTTGCGATGTGTGATGATTGGTGCGTGTCCACCGTTCTGGTTGTGTTGATTATTTGTCCGAAAACCGGCGTCAAAGAGGTCACCGCTCCCTTCATTTTTCCCCTTTCGTTGCGGTGTTGCATGCGCAGTGGTCTGGGAAGCAAAGGTTGTGGACTGTAGTCCCGGCGATACTAAAAGGTGAGAATAGCCGGCTACCTTACAACTTGTTAAGAGAAACTATAGTTATCCATTTTAAATCCCATGGAACCTGTTCTTAGCACCACGTCTCCTGATATCGTCGTACGTTCCGCCATCGGCCGGGAGCCACCGCGCATTTGGACTTCCGCTGGTACTGCGTCGGATCAGATGCTTTCCCACTAGTAATACGTTGCACTGCCCACATAGTTTTTAGGATGGAAGGCGTGCAATCCAGGTCTTTGTTCGTGTCCACTTGATGGAGCCAGTTTATGGCAGCATCGGAGATGATAGAGTAGCGGTTGCGTGGACCTATGAAGTACCCGGGCAGCGTCTCAGAAATTGTGATGTCTCTAGCGGAAGTGTTGAACCATCAGAATTAAGCAACTGCGCGGATGCATTAAGGAGGTGGCCGTAGACAACCCTGAAGGGGTTTTTCCTTTCGCTGAGGTCCGCATACAATTGAAATACGTCACTCATTCGGAACACCCAGATGTCCGGCATCTCCCGAAGTCAGTGCTATACAAGGCGGTGACATCTGACGAAGGCGGCTTTTTGGTGTCATTCAGCGGCCGCTTTAGGGTTTGTGCAGTCGGTTCCGCTCGGAAAGTGTGATGATGATGTCGGCATCATTTATCGTCAAACTAGTCCTGGTGTTGACAGCGTGCGCGTTGCAGGACGGCATGGACAGTGGAGTGGAGATAGGTGCTCCCCAATCGATTACGGAACTTACCCGTTAGGTTCGGGGTTCGGGTCGTGCAACAACTGGTAATGGCTGACCGATGATGGCTAATAGGTCGGAAATGGCCATTCCAGCCTCCCTTTTTTTCGTTACATTCTTTCTACACTTCAAAAGGCCTCATTATTGTATTTTCCTTGAACTCATGCGTGACTTATTAATGAGGCTCTTCACCGCATACGTTTGCATCAGATTGTTGAAATCGACAGCATGTAGTCAACAATCACTTAAAAAAACCTTTTTAGAGGGCCTGGTTACCATTTTACATACAAATTACACTTGCCTATTGTACTACTACTGCTAAGCAAGTAGCTATGTTTAATTACTATTTCGACACAAACGGCTTTTCGTTGTTCGCTTGCAAAGACGGAATTGAAGTAGTTTTTCCTATTTTTCGTTTGTATCCACGCATTTTTTAGCCACTTTGTTACCAATAGGGAACTCAGAAGCATTCACCTACTTTTCACTCAATAAACTGATACTGATGCTGATCTACCTGCGTCATCTTGTAGTCTCCCATTACCACTACGGCACCCCTTAAATGACTTTCATATTGTTCGATCACATGTTAACCCCTCGCCTCACGGTCTTCTGAGATTTGCGGATGCTCTGGAGGCAGTTTAATTGTACTCAAGCTCAAACATTTTGCTTCGTTTTTCTCTAACTTTGTTATGATGTGCTTTTATCCTTCAAGATTAAACTCTGTAACAAATTATAGAATAATTAGTAAAGTAAGCCCATCCACGAAAACTTTGAAATAATAATAAACAACTTTGGGCTAATTCAGTATTTAAAATAAATATTAAATAATTTTTGTTTGTCCGTTAGGAAAGATAAAAAATTTAAATAATTCTCAGGTTCCGCAGACGTGAAAAATTGCTATAAATCAGAACACTTATTTTAAATACAATCGTCGGGTAAAATCATAACCATACCATCTTCCTTATATCAAAAGAAAGTTTCTTTATTCAAATCAGTTAATACATATTTCGGCTGTTTCAGCGCAATTAATTTCAGATCTCCCTTTAAATTCCGGCAACTTTTCGAAGACCTTCACCTTTCTTCCATAAATGTACATTCTGTGTGATGTTTATATCAAAAAAATTTAATAAAATATTTCTTAAAAGGATCTACCAAAAACGCAAATTTTTGAATAGTAGTTCTTATGAAGAGAGACATTTGGGCCATATTTCTAAACTATGCAAAACATCAAAAATCATTGTCGAGCAAAAAGTACGTTTGCAACAGAAATCTGATAGTGGTACGCCTAAGATTAATTTAAAAACTTTCTATGATATGTTACCTCTTTTAAATGCACTTTAATAAAATACTCAACTGACAAATATCTGTGCATGTTACTTTTTCCTGTGAACTGTCAAAGTGAAAATGGAGAATTTTGACCGTTTTTTAAATTTATTTTGGCTGAATATGAAAGAACTCACTTTTCTCCGTGCCTTTACAAGAGGGGGTTTTGTTTTAGTTTTTTAATATAACTCTCTATTTCATTTGTATATATAGGCCTTAAAATATACATTTTGCAGAAATTTACTTACTTTTCTGTGTTTTCTTGCACACATTTCATTGCTGGTCTGCGCTGAGGGCCCGCATTTAAAACTTTCCTCACCACCATTCCCGTTTTATGCGATCTCGCGGTCGCAATTTTTTTCGAATGGACAGCGCACTTCACAATTTCGGTTGACGTTTCATAAAAGCAACTCTGCTGTACTTGGCTCGAGGAACGAATCTGACCTGTGTGCATCCATTCCAGCGCGAGTATGCACTTACCTTGCAACCCACGTCACAATGCTCACATTGTTATTTTGGCTAACATGCGTTGAGAGAAAATGTATGCACTCGGCTGCACCAGTCAAGAACCAATGGAATGCCGAGTCGTGTTATTGACGCAATCGCGAATTCGATTGGCGCTGCTACGCGCATTGCACCACGGCGAGTGACAAAATGCTCCGTTGCAGGCAGCTGGCGTAAAAAGCCCTTGAACGTTTATTTGGGTTTATAATAACAAACACTCTGGTTGGGCAGTGTGTGCTGCTGCTTTTCTGACCGTCAGTCCTTCAATTGACATTTGCTTCCGTTTCGAAGTGTTGCTAGCCTAAATAAGTCACTAAAATAAATTGTGCGCAAACGTAGTTCAGATATATTACATAGATAAAAAATGCTAAGTTTAGTTTGAGACAAGCGTCTGACTTTGATTGAGAAAGCCGTATACAATGCCCGCATTGCGGACCCGTTCCACGACTGGCAAGATCTCTACTAGTCACCCTGAAAGAGTTATTGCTACATGAATTCAAGTCTGTCATTTGTC